TTCCAATGATCAATACTATATATAAATAAATATATCGAAAAAGAATAGTTATAATTTAGAGAAGAAAAAACCAGAGAAACTACATACTCTATTAATAACCATGATCGTTTCATAAGATTATCTCGATATTCATTTGTATAATCAATATTTGGAAAAAATCCTTTTTGAATGTTATAAAGTGCTTTTTCAAATCCTTGATTCTATAAATAGAAAAAAAAAACAGAAAGATTTTTTAAGACATCATCATTTAGTATAATTCAAATTACTCTATATGAGAAATATTTAGAAGCATGATACTCATGACACGACATACGTCCATCAAGGTTATTTACTGATGAACGACTTGTTGTTGAACGAGTTGTACGAGTTGATTGTGGTCGTGCTTGTCGATCGAATGCCATCGAGGGAAGAATATCATCATCGATAGTATTTTCTGTTGGATCATTTGGATCGGAGACATATGATGGATTGTTAATACTTAACTGTTCAATTGTTGTTATACTGGGTGTTGTGATAGTTGCCATTGTTACGTTTATTAGAAGAAAAAAACCTACTGAATCAATGAGAATGAGTTGTGTTTCTGTTAGGTAGAAAAAAAAATTGTGACTAAATAAATTGTTAATAAAGCAAAAAAAAATGCGACGAAGAGAAACGATAGTGAAAGAGAATTTTTCTGTTTCTTCGATACTCAAATATGTTGAGTCAGAGAAAGTTTTTCTTTTTTTCTTCTGTTTGTCAAAGACAGATTGGCGACTGAAATTATACGTCACCAGTTTTATTATATACAATAAACACTTCTTTTACATTGAAGTATTTAAGAATGACAAATGTGACGACTTTTTTCCGGTAATAAGGAATTTTGGAAATAAATAAATGCGAAATATTTTCTGCAACGTATAGAATATTGAGTACTAAACCAAAACTTTCAATTTAATCAATCGATCAAATCGACCTTGATGTCAAAAAACAATAGGTTCTAACTAAAAAAAATCATTCCAAACTATTTCAATAGTCTTTATGTGGGTTGAAAACATCAACTCTGTGTTGATTACATAAAATACTGACGCATTCAAAATATTCAATTGAATAAAATGACTCATACACCCATGTTCTTCTTTCCATAAAAGTCATGGACAAATCATACTATTTATTGAACTAATTAAGAGACGTTGCACGAGAAAACCGAAGTTTTTCGAATATCGAAAAACATGGGGGTCAACCGATTTATGATTTGATCTCCTATGAATTTCGGGCCTTATGTACCATAGATGAATCCAAAATATTACGGCGTAAAGATTTATTTGTGGTCGGCTAGAGCGAACGGACTCGCCACACCCTCAAAAAATGCTCAAAAAAGTGTAAAATTTTGATCTATACATTTTTTTGAATTTTTTGGTTCTAAATTCTATGCTGCTCAAATTGAGTTATATACCAATCGATAGAGCTTGACTTTCTCTACAAAACTGTATATATGTCATTTCTATCTGACATGAATTTAAAATCGAAAAGGTTCTAATACTGTGTTTTTTCGACATATAAAATTTGGTCAATTTTTGAGTATTTTGGTCTAATGTCTAGGAGAAAAATAAACGTTCGACCAGTGAGAATGTTAGGCCTGAATATCGGTCGCTGACACTGTTTTCTACCTATTTTGAACATAATATCATATCTATATCTTTGAACATTTGCTTCGCAGCTTTCTATCTTTACTTTCGAATGCTCTATCAATAGATAGAGCTCGGGTTCCTCTACAAAACTATATGTGCAAGATTTCTTTCTGATGTATACTTAGAACAGAAAATCGTCTCGAGAGCTATATTTAGCCATATCCATAAAAAATTCGCTTTCAAAAGTCCATATAACTGAGTTACTTCACAAACTGCTAAAAAAGTTTGATCGTATCGCATGAATTGTATCCAGTATAAATCAGCACACGTTCCTCTGTTGACTTCAATAAAAGTTCCTTTGAAAATAATAAAAAAAAAATTTTCGAAAAATCTCTGTAGGGGGGTACGGGGATTTTGAAGAGATGTTTTACCCAAAGAACTTGAGGGGGAGTACAGGGATTTTTCGAAAAATTTTTTTTTATTGTTTTCAAAGGAACTTTTATTGAAGCCAACAGAGGAACGTGTGCTGATTTATACTGGATACAATTCATGCGATACGATCAAACTTTTTTAGCAGTTTGTGAAGTAACTCAGTTATATGGACTTTTGAAAGCGAATTTTTTATGGATATGGCTAAATATAGCTCTCGAGACGATTTTCTGTTCTAAGTATACATCAGAAAGAAATCTTGCACATATAGTTTTGTAGAGGAACCCGAGCTCTATCTATTGATAGGGCATTCGAAAGTAAAGATAGAAAGCTGCGAAGCAAATGTTCAAAGATATAGATATGATATTATGTTCAAAATAGGTAGAAAACAGTGTCAGCGACCGATATTCAGGCCTAACATTTTCACTGGTTGAACGTTTATTTTTCTCCTGGACATTAGACCAAAATACTCAAAAATTGACCAAATTTTATATGTCGAAAAAACATAGTATTAGGACCTTTTCGATTTTAAATTCATGTCAGATAGAAATGACATATATACAGTTTTGTAGAGAAAGTCAAGCTCTATCGATTGGTATATAACTCAATTTGAACAGCGTAAAATTTCGAACCAAAAAATTCAAAAAATGTATAGGTCAAAATTTTACAGTTTTTGAGCATTTTTTGAATGTGTGTCGAGTCCGTTCGCTCTAGCCGACCACAAATAAATCTTTACGCCGTAATCTTTTGGATTCATCTATGGTACATAAGGCTCGAAATTCATAGGGGATCAAATCATAAATCGGTTGACCCTCATGTTCTGGCTATCTTCGGTTTTTTCATGCAGTGTCTCTTAATAAGTTTATATATTAAAAACACTGTGAATATGAAGTTTGCATTATTGCTTTGGCCGTTATCAGTGATTACTTATCATTACGAAAATCAAAGTAAAGGCAACTATTATTTTTCAAATCGTGTTTTATTTTCAGCTCTTGCCCCCCCCCCCTCCCCCCTCAAAATTGATTTCCCACACCCACCGTTTGGACTAAAATTTTCAGGAATGATTAGTCTTAGTGAGAAACACTTGTGGTAAAAATTTTAGCCTGATATGCCTGACTAGATCAAAGTTTCGGCTTGTTTTCCTACCTCCCAGGAGAATCGAAATAACTTCATCGTTAGAACGGGTACGGAGCTCGGACTGATTTCAAATTGGAGCTAGCCTCTGTACGCAACTTTTTATCAGACGGAGTTTTGAAACTTCCTTCCATTCATTTTTTATGAGCAATTTTGTGGACATGTTTGCAACATAAGCATAAAAAAAATGTGACTCTACGACAGTAAATCCCATTTTTCTCAGCCCTGGGGTCGAGTATCAAAAATCGGTCTGATGAAAAGTTAGCTCTAATTAAAACCTTTAAAACAAAAAAAAAGACATCAATTATATGCCGAGTCGAGTGTGAGTTATTTCAATTTTTCTGTTTAGAAACCGTGTTTTGAGAGAAATGCCAAAGAAGTTTTAGAAATGGATGCTTTCATTCAAATCCAGAACAAATCATATTACAATGGTATATTACACTGGATCATATTAAAGAACATAAGAGATAAAGGTAGCTAACGCCCTCTGACATGCTGATTAATATAAAAATATTTTATTCAATGATAATGCAAGTGGAAGCGCAATTTTTCTGAAACTGAAAACCTTTAAAAGCCACGAAAATTTCTCCAAAAACATGGTAGTAGATGTAAAGTTTCATGTGATAAGTCATTGAAAATCGGATCATTTTCCAAAAAAACTATACATATTCTGAAAGAGGAAGCTTTATTGCATCTACCTGTGATAAAACTCAACTTCGATATTTTTCTGAAAAACTCGATTTTCTAAGGGGAGATTCCCTTAAAACACTTAAGGTGTAGATATTTTAACGAATCAATATTCTAGAATTATTTTTCACTCATTTGCATATATTTCGATAGAGCTTGCCGAACTGAGAATAAAAAAAAAATGCTATTTCAAAATTGTTCAAGTCAAAGTATTTTAAAATACATGTAACATCTGATAACATACAAAACGGTGTAGTAGTTCCAATCATACGTCAAAGTTCGCATTGATTATTTTTATTGCCATCTTCATATTAGTTTTGCTCGTTCTCTCTGTAAAACTGGAGAAGAGACCGTACAGTTACATTTTTCGTCATTTAAAATAACTGACGTAACGTCAAAACACGAGATGAATTGTATTCTTGTTTTTTGTGTATCATGCTAATAAAGCAAGCTTTGTTTGCGACAGAAAAATATTTCGTAAAAGTATTCTTCAGTTATCAAGAGAGATGAAGTTTTCGATTTCACTCGTAGAATGCAACAAACAAGGACCTGCATCTGTCCATTTTGACTATGGAAATTTGATTGAATCGTGAAATCAATGTTATATTCGACATCAGCACAAAAAGAGAAGTCGAATAATATGTATTTCAACTAAATATTTTTTTGTTAGAAACACACCCATACTCCTCCTTAGTCGTTTTTTGTAAGCAATACACCTATAGACTCCTGGGGTTTGTTATTGTCAAACACAATGTTTGTGCACAACATATGCCATTCGATTCAGTTTTTCATGCTGATTTCAAATGTGACGTTTGCTTTACATATGAATCAAACTTTATTAGGCAAATTTGGTAGACAAGGGTCTGTTATGTTTGCGTTTTGCTATTAAAATCGAAAAACTCGCTTCTCTTGATAGCAGGAAAATATTTACGAAAAGCCGATACCTGCTTTTCGTATTTTGAAATTAGACAGATCTGAATAAATTATCAAGGGCACTTGTTCATGCTAATCACGAATTTGGCATTAATTCTTTGTGAGAATTTGAATTTTAGCATCAAAAATCATATTTTGAATTTTTTAACTAAAACCTTTTCATGAACTGCCAAGTTATATCTCATTCAATGCATAATTTAATTCTTTGTACAGTTTCCAACATACTTTATAGTTAATGTGTTCACGTTTTGACGAAGCCACTTGTTTCTTGCCGTGGAACAATTAGATATACAGCAAAGACCAATATTTATCAAAATCAAATATTATTGAGTAAGTAAAGTGCCTTAAAATCGGTTACGAAAACTTGTGTATCAGACTTTTTTTTGCATTTTTTATCAGAGTGAAATAGTTTAGAGAAAACCTTTTTTTGCCATTTAAAAGCCCGCTCGGTACTCTGCAAAACGAGCTGTAGAAGCATTGGATTTGAAGAAATACTTTCATCAGAAATTGGAGATTTATCAACGGCCCTGGAGAATAAAAGCATTTTTTTGTAACCGTGCTACACGATGATAAAATCTTCCTAAAAGACCAAGACTAAGTGAGTGGGTGTAATTAGATTCTTCATCCATGCGCAGACCCTATGCCCATATCTTTTCTTGCTCTTGCTCGATTCATTTCATATAGAAATAAATCTTCTATATAAACAAGTTAAATATTTATCAAAGTATGCGTGA